AGAAATTAAAAAAAAAAGAGAGAGAGAGAGAGAGTGAGAGAGAGATGAAAATGATGATGATGATGATGGTGGAGAAAGATAAACAAGACAATTTTCCTTAACTTATTAAATTAATTTCTTTGTGTGTGTTTGTTTTTGGCTAATTACAGAATTTGAAGTTGTTAAAATTTATTTCTTTACTCCAATAAAACCCTTAAAATATTACTATCCATCTCTCTCATTCTCTTTCTCTCTCTCTCTCTCTCTTTCCTTTCATATTAAAAAAATTGTTAATTACAGTAAGAAATACTCATCATTATAATTTTTTTCTTTTTTTTTTTTTTTTTTTTGAATAATTTTTGTGTTAAAATTTAAAATGTGTAATAATAATAATAATAATAATAATAATGGTAATTTTTGACATTTATTCATATAAAAAAGAAAAAAAGGTAATAAGAAGAGTAAGGAAATTGTTAGGCTCAAATAAAACGATATAATGTATATATAATTGTGAAAACAACAACCAAGTTATTTTTACTATTAATTTATATGTAAATTTTTAGGATATACGTGAGAGAGAAAAAGAGAGAGAGGAGAGAGAAAGAGAGAGAGAGTGAGATTCTACTAGATGAATACTAATAAAAGCTGTAAATAACTTTTCCAAAAAAAAAAAAATGACCCCATCTGCACCGACTAATTTCCATCTCTTTATATATATATATATATGGAAAAATGAAATTTTCATCCTATTCAAACTTCTATATATATTTTTTTTTTTTTCTTATCTTCTTACGCCCTTTTTTTTCTTTCTTTTTTTTTTTTTTTTAACCGGTCACATAAGTTTCAATTTATTTGAAAAGTTAAATAATATATTGCTATTTTACGAGTCTCAAAATGGAAGAGAGATACCTTTAAAAAAAAAAAAAAAAACTCTAACTTAAAAGATTCGTTCTCTTACATTAAAAAAAAAAAAAGAAAAAAGTTAAAAAGAAGACACGAAAATGTTTTTACCATAATGCAATGAAAACGAATTTTAAAAAAAAAAAATAAAATAGACGAAAAGAAATATTTTTTTTTTTTTTTTACTTTGTGTTTTTCTTTTTTCTTTTTTCTTTTTATCATCACGTTAGTAAAAGTTTCCAACCGATTATCAAAGAGATATATTGCTCCTTCCTTTCAAAAAAAAAAAAAAAAAAAAAAAAAATAGAAAAGGAAACCCCTCAAAAGTCACATTAACTCATTCACACATTGATTTACTTTTTTTTCCCCCCAACCTGAATTTATTTAAACAAAAAAAAAAAATAAACTTGATAACGTTTTAAATTACTTTTAAATATAAAACAAATAATAATAATAATAATAATAAAGTAGAAGGGGGAGGAGTAGCAGGAGGTAGGTAGGTAGGCAGGTGGGTAGGTAAGTTTTTAATAACATTTGGAGTCATCATATTTATTTATAACCTTTGTTAACATTAAATAATATGCATGGGAAAATTATATGTTACATATAATAATAATAATAATCAATAATAAATAAAATTTTCTTTCAATAAATAATAATAATAATAATAATAACTTGGATTTACAAAAGGAAATTAAAAAATCACAATAGATTGACTTATATGGTATTAAAAAAGAGGACAATGATAAAAAATGGAAGGGTGGGAAATTTTTTTTTGTTTTTCTTCTCTTTGGGAAAAGAAGAAAGATTTGATGATGATGATGATGATGATGATTAATGATAGTTATTGGAATAACGTCAAAATAATAATATCCCCATAGCTACATGATAGTTATTTTTTTTTAAAAGAGGAAAATTTAAACAGTTAAAAAAAAAAAAATTGTTTCTTATCACACAGACTTTAAATTTAGATTTTTGAATTTTTTATAAAGTTTTAGTTTAAAAGTGCTGAGCTGTCGATAAAAAAAATCAAACGATTTAAAAGTAAGCACGTTTTTCTGTCGAATTAATGCTTTGTTCGTGAAAAGAAAGTAAAAAAAAAAAAAAAAAAAGAATTTTCTCAAAATCATTCCCATATTACCTACTACTGCTACATACATACATTGTATATGAATAATTTAAAATTGAAGAAAATTTATGAATAAATATTTAAATGAATTTTTTTTTTTTTTTACGTTTCGATGGGGGGAAGAAAATTTTCTTTTTAAATTTATGAATGTTCCTAATACTTTTGTATTAAATATGAGTTTTGCATGATAATATTAATTGAACATGTTTTTCATAATGTTTTATATTTAATAAGTTTTTAAATAATGAATAGAATAGAAATGCTACTAATAAGATAAATTAGTTTTTTTTCTTTTTTACAAAATAATTATTTATCATTCATATTTCAAATAAAAATAATTAATTGTATAATTGTTAATGCAAATAATAAAATTTTTTAAATGACAAATTTTTATAAATTTATATATACATTTTAAGGGTTTTTTTTTTGTAACGGTTTTTGAGTTATGGGGCAAGTTTGCAATTTTTTATAACGTTACAACAATTCTTTAAACTTTTTTTTTGAAATACTTGTTCATAATGTTTTATTTGATAATTTTTGACTAATAATTACTCCAATTGAAAGAAAAATATGTATAATTTATAATTAAAATTAAATTTAAAGTTTAAAAAAAAAAATCATGCCATACCTTAATGTTATGATGAAAAAAATATCATTTTGTTTATAATAACACGTTTTTTAACTTGATAATTTTATACTTAATGCACTTAAAAATTTTAACAACTCTTAATTTCTTTCGAAAATAACCAACAAAAAAAACGTTTAAATTAAACTTTTTCTAAATATACTCACAAAAAATACTTGTTAGGTTACAAATAAAATTTTCAAATTTTATTACTCTATGAAAATGGCGTCAAAATTTTGACAGTAGTATCAATATAATTAGTTGAACTGTAAATATTACAAATTTGTGTACAAATAAAAAGTTTTTATACAGTATTATATTTCGCTGATTTGTATAATTGTTATAATTATGATATTATTAGTGTTTTAAATATGATGTACTTTTTGATATGAAATTAATTTTAATTTTACTTTAGAATATTGAAAGTAAAACATTTATCATTGAAAATGTTAATGCAATTTCTTAATGAAATTGAAAAGGTAAATTAATCAAAATTACAATTAGTTTTTTTAAAAAAAATTTTTTTAATTATATAAAGAACTAAAAGAATTACTATTTTTTTTTTTTAGGAACCATTTGATCCGGATGAATTTGTTGAAACTCTGGCATGGAAAACTTTAAGCTTAGATGCAAATGGAAGTGATTTAAATACATTTGACCCAGTGCTTTTACAAGAAACATTTACAAAAGCAATCAGGTAAGTATCTAAATATTAAATTTAACAACTTTTTTTCTTTTTTTTATTGTAAATAATAATAAGTATGTATTTCAAGAATTGAAATATGTTTATTACACCTAGGTGATTTATATATATATTATTATTTTTATTCGAAAATGTAAAATTTGAATATTTATTTTGTTATTATTTATATTATAATGTAAGAAATTATTTTTTTTAGAGAATTAGAAACATTGCAAGAAAAACAAAAAAAGAAATGTGAGAAACTTGAAGCAAAATTTCGAGAGGAAGAAGCAAACGATTTGGAGAGAGTCGAGCATCTCCAGGAAAGAAATAAGGTAACTTAAAGTGTGTAAAATAAAAATTATTTTTAGACTTGTTAATGCAATTTTTCTTCTACTATACTTAAATTAAACTGCATATTTTATCAGTAGTCAATTTTAATTTAATTATTTATATTGTTAATATTTTTTTTTTAGGTTGCCATTGATTTGTTTCGAAAACTCGATGAACAAATTAATTTTGTAGCTACCAAAGTTATTCATCTTGGGGAACAATTAGAAAGTGTCAACATTCCAAGATCGAGAGCTGTTGAAGCCCAAAAATTGATGCATTGTTTTGAAGATTTTCATATATCATCAGCTGTTTTAGATAATGTATTTTTGGAAAGATCAAAAGTAAGTTATAATTTGCTTTCTTAAAATTTAAATTACAAACATGTATAATATTGTTATACATATGTATAATAGTACTATATATTAATAGTTAACATATTATACATATATTAATAGTTACTTATATTCCTTTTACAAAATTTTATATTTTTAGATTGATGAAGCGGCAGATATTATACAAAAATTATATTCGATAGCCTTGGAACTTCCAGAAGAAAAATTTGGAGAAACTAAAAGAAAGATAAGTGCTAAATATGATGAAATAGAAAGGAATTTAATTGAAGAATTTACAAAAGCTCACAGAGCACAAGATTTAGGAAGAATGAAAGAAATTGCTAATTGTATGGTTCACTTCAAAGGATATGGTCAGTGTGTTGATTCGTTCATTGAATACAGTCAAATGGTAATTTATCGATAATTATTATTAATATATTTTCTTTCAACATTGATACTACTAATAAATTTTTTTTTTTTTTTTCAGAAAGCATTCAGTGGAAACACAGTTTTTCAAGAAGTAATACCACTTTGTGAAAAAAATTATAAAATTATTAAAGAAGTTTTTAATAATCCAGAACAAGTTATGGCTAAATTTGCTTTAAACATATACCATTTAAAACTTCAAACATACATTTCTTCCAAATTGGCTGATAAAACGGATACTGAAAAATATTTAAAAAATCTTTATGATCTTTACACGAATACTTTAAAATTATCTGAAGAAATGGCTAAATTTGAAATGGGAAATGATATTTCTTATTTAAACAAATTAACAAAAGGAGTTTTTCACAAACATTTAGATTTTTACATGAGGTATGTGACGACATAATTCTTAATAAACATTTCAAATTGTATTTAAAAGTTTGAGTGCTAATTAAACATATAAAGTTTTCAAAATAAAAACCATAATTTTTCTGATAATTTCAGCATGGAAGCTAAATGTCTCGAAGATAAATGTAACGTTATACTACGCCGTTATTACGAATCCAAGAATCATCAGAAAAAAGTTATACAAACGGGAGGATTTCAAGATTTTCGAAGAGATTTACAAGCTGCTATAATAGCAAGAACAAACATAAATATAGCACAAATAGAAGATTACGGTGGGGAAACGTTTGTTTCGGAAGAAGTGGCCATTGCTCTATTACAAGAAAGTAAAACTTCTTTTCAAAGATGTCAGTTGGTAAGTTTTTATTTCTCCTTATTAATTCCATATACCTAATAATGATAATAATATTAAAATTAAGAAAGTATAATTTTTTTGTTTAAGCTTTCTCAACCTGTTGATTTACCGGGAAATGCTCTTCAGATAACAAACATCCTATTGAAAAATTTAATTACCGGTCACATTGATTACGCATTAGAATTGGGACTTCAAACAATACCGATACCAGAAACTAAAAATTTTCCACAAATTTATTTTTTCGATATTGTTCGTAGGACTAATGCAATTATTGTTTTGTTGGAAAAATTGTTTAACGACAGCGTTCTTCCCTTAGTCGAGTAAGTCGCATAAAAAAATCAATTTCTTGGTTTTCTTTTTCTTTAAATTGATATAAAATTTCATTTGATAACACTTCCAGGGGTACTCCCAAGCACAACGATGCTCTCCTGAAGAAAAAAAGCATGCTTGAATTAGTAGAAATGAAATTGGACATCGGTTTGGATAGATCTATAAATGCAATTATTGGTTGGGTTAAAATATATTTACAAAACGAACAAAAGAAAACGGATTTCAAACCGGAAACGGATAATTTAGATACTTTGTCATCACCGGTAAGTGGAAAAGCATTTCCTTTTTCTTTTTTATAATGATTTTAATGGATTTTAATTAATAATTTAAATTCTTGTACTATTGTTTGGAAAACTAGGCGTGTTTAAATGTCGTCCAATACATTTCGAACGTGTCGCAAAAGATCAAAGAAAGTTTGGACGATAAAAATTCGGAATCCGTTTTGACAGAATTAGGTACAAGGTTTCATCGGGTCGTTTACGAACACCTACAACAATATCAATTTAACACGGCGGGTAAATTATTATCAATCAATAACGCTTTTAAATTGAATTTGTGACAATTTTTATTAATTTCATCATTTATTAGGGGCGATGTGTGCAATTTGCGACGTTAACGAATACCGGAAATGCGTTAAAGAATTTAAAATTCCGCTGGTTAACACACTTTTCGAAACTCTTCACGCTCTTTGTAATTTACTATTAGTTAAACCGGAAAATCTTAAACAAGTTTGTAACGGTGATCAATTGGTGAGTCATTTATTTAATTTTGTGTTTTTTAAAAAAAATTGTATTTAAGGAATTATTTGAGACGAACAGTTTAAAATGGTTTTTTAATGTTATAGGTCGCGTTAGAAAGATCCATATTGTTAAATTTTATACAACTGAGAAGCGATTATAAAAGTCAAAAAATATCCAATTCAGTTAAAGGTTTATCATCATAAAAATTTTTTAAAATTTTATTTTACGTTAATTTATATTATACCAAGAGTTTATTATTATTATTTTTTTTTTTTTACGTAACATATTAAGCCTAATTTATTAAAATTTATGAAATTAAATAAGAAAAATAAAGAATTAAAATTATTATCATTATTAAATTTTTTTGATATTTGTTGGTACTTTTAAAAATGTACAATTTCTCTCGAATGTTTTATATCCAAAAAAAAGAAAAAAGAAAAGAAAAGAAAAAAAAAACAAACAATTTCAATTGATTTAAATTTTATTAAAATTTGATGAAAATAAATGTGAGTCGGTTGCGGTAAATGATATAAATCGTAAATTACTTATAAATTAAAAATGTTACGAATTGTTCATTTCTACCATTTAATGTAGAAAAACCATTATTATTATTATTAATATTTTTTGCACTCACTTATGAAAAGTATATTTTAAAAGAAAAAAAAAAAATACCGCAAAAAAAAGAATACTGCAAGAATTGGTTAATATATATATATTTAACCGAATAAAAATTTTTTTTTTTTGTTTTTTTCGGATTAAAAAATTAAAAAAAAAAAAAAAAAAACAATTTTTTGAAACTAAACGATAAAATGCTATTAATCAAACTGCAGATAAAAATTTTTTTGTTTTTTTTTTTACGTTCGAACAAAAAAAAAAAAAGAAAAAAAAAAAAGAATCTAACGCATTCTGTATTGATTAGTCTCGTGAACTTGGCACAAATCTCCGGAGAAATTTAACGTAATAGTAAAATCTAAATCTCTGTTGTTCCTTGCGTTTGGTTTCATCGAAAACACGCCCGTTATTTCTTCCTTTTTTTTAACAGTTACGTAATTATTGAAATAAAAAACTGTTTGTTTCCAATGCGTGTAAGGAGCTTCGGGTGCGGTACTAAATCCGATTCTTTTGTGACACTTTGTAAATTCAATATTAAAAAAAGTAACCAGGGCTTGAATGTAATCGTTACGTCGAGCTTCCAAATGAAACTGAGATGTAAATTCTAAGTCTTCTTTCGTAACAGTGTACAAATTAACCTCTTTCAATAATGAAGCATTTGTAACAACTTGTTTCGGATCGACTACATCAACAAGTGGTTCGCTTATGGCAACCTTAAATTAATTAATTCGATAAATATCAATTATGTGCTCATCATCATCATCATTATGTCCTACTTACAAATGGAAAATTTCAATATAAAATACCTTTCTTATGGGAGACATATCAAAACCATAAACATCATCCCACCAATTTATTTTTTCATCCTTATACTGTCTGTCTTCGATCCCTATTACGAATAGTGTGGCTCGATCTGGAAACAACATTCCATCTTGTTTCAACCATTTGTCTCTGGCATACAAAACGGTATCGAGCATACTTTCGTAGAAAAGGCAATAACCCATCCATTCTGAGATAATAATATCAACTTTTTCAATACCATCGGGTAATTCAACCTCTTCAACTTTGCCTTTTATTATAGTAATTATGTGATCTAACTTATTAATTTCTACTATTTCTTTAGCATATTCTACTATATTCGAGCATTCAATTCCAAAAACCCTCGCAGCTCCAGCTTTGGCTGCAAACATTGATAATATTCCAGTACCACAACCAATGTCTATGACAGTTTTACCCTTTAAAAAACAATATTTATTACTTTACATATAATTGAATTAATTAGAATTTTTAAAAAAATTATTTATAAGAAATACGACAATATCGAAAAAAAAAGTATATATATATAAGCTTTAGTATTTTTTATTAATGTGGACAACCTTAATTAGATGATCACTAATAAAACACTAATTAGATAATGTAATGTATTTAATTTGAAAAACACAACTTACTTGAAAAAGGTGTTTATTATGATACATAGAGTTTCTATAAGTAAGCGTCCTAACTTCATCTTTTAACATTTCTTCATGAATGCCAAAATGTGCATATGAATCAAAATAATAATCTTTAGATGTCATTTCATCTACAGAAACAAAAACTGGCTTTTTAGGCCAAGATTCAACTGAAACTTTTTCTTTTTCTAAATTATCCATTATATCTTTTTTTTTATATTCTTTGGTAATAACATTTCTTTGTGAATCTTGCTTTAAAAGTTCTGAAGTAACCTGGAAGGAAACTAATTATAGTTTAACAATTAACAATTGTAAATTGAGACACTTTAAACTATAAAAATTTTACAAAACAAATTAAAATTTTATATTTAAAATGCCACATTACTTAATACATAAAATTTTTATAAATTACCAGGTCTAAATTATAAAATATTACTGTGTTGGATAAACTTTTAATTAATATTAACGGTAAAAGAAAACGTTGAAAGAATTTAATTAAAAATGAATAAAGGATCTCAACTAAAAAATTCTTAATGGTAGTAACATTGGAACACGTGTAGTAAACTAACTTTGGTCTAAATAAAAAACGATTTAAATATTTTCAAGTATAACCTAGTAAAAAGTAAATTTATGCAATAATTTATCTTTACTATAATTTCTGTATTTAAAATAACCTTGGATTTTATTTTAAAAAAATAAAACTGCAGCAAACCAAAAAATCAAAATAACAAATCATAATGAGTTATATTTAAAAAAAAAAAAAATGGGGAAAAAAAGAAAAAAATTAAATGTTTGCAAATAAATTAAATTAAAATTTTAAAAAAAAAACTAATAAAGAAAATGGGATTTTTTTTTTTTGAAAATGAAAAATCTAAAAGATAATTTTTAAATTTCATAAATACCTCTGCTTTTTTTGCAAGCACCGGTAAAACATGGAGAGAAGACATATTGGTTAGCAAATGGTAACACTAATGTTCGTCGTAGAAATGTCAAAGAATGAGGTTACGTGACGTCACGCTTATGTTTTTTTTATAAATTTTTTTAAAAATATTTATATAAATTATTTAATTAAAAGCACATAAGGAAATTTAAATAGAATTAAAATTAAAAATGATTTTTTATCCGTTTAATTATTTAACGAAAAATACTTTTTTAGCTTGGATTTTTGTCAACCAATAAGAGCTCTTTGTTTAATGACGAATAAAAACCAAACTCTCTAGTATTTAAGTATCGGCTTGCCTGCAGGGTAGGGAGTGTGACACTATTTTTCTTTTTTTTTTTTATTTGCGTAAAAGAGTGGGTTGGAAATGTTATTCGTACGTTAAGTGTGATCCATTTAAAACTAAAAAAATTATGATTTTATTGTGTTATTTTAATTATTCGGGATGAGGCAATTATTCAGTTGCTGACCATGTTGGTAAGTATTGCTGTTATCAAAACAACAAAGATCAAGGTATTTTTATTCAGGCTTACAGTTTCTATTTTTTTTTTTTTTTTTTTTTTTTTTTTTTTGGGCTTTTCTGTTTTCATATTTTACTTTTTCCCATTTCCCCAAAAAAAATACCCCCCCCCATACATTTTAAAAATCAGTTAAAAATTAATATTATATTGAATGCATAATGGGAAAAATATATATATTGGTTTTTACTTATTTAATATAAATCATCATTTACTTTTAAAAATGTGTTTATTTTCAATTTGTGTAGCATTGTTAAAAATCTAGTTCCCTAAATATTTAATTTGCTTGTCGTAGCAATTTTAACTATTTCTTATTATTAAAAGTAAAATATATTTCTTATATTTTTTAATAATTCATTTTATGTATTACAAAAAAAAACGCCAAGATTGCTAGGGTACGTTGAAAATAAACGCCAAGTTTGATACTGAACCAGTCATTATTGCGTAAAAAAAAAAAAAAAAAAAAAAATCTCTTGTTATATTTTACAAAAAAAATTTTTTTTTAAAATGTTATTTATGTTGTATTAGATATTTTAATATTTTATTTTTTATTAACACATATGTTAATAAATAAATAATTATTTAATTTTACAGACGGACGAACCACCTTATTTGTCTGTTGGAACGGAAGTTAGTGCAAAATATAAAGGAGCATTTTGTGAAGCAAAAGTGAGAAAAGTTGATAAAACTGTTAAATGTAAAGTATCATTTAAATTAGGATCTGGCACTTATACTGTGTTAGACAGTTCAATTAAAGGTACCTTAAGAGTGGGAGCTTCTGTGGAAGCCAAGCATCCAGAAAAAAAAGATTTTTTCGAAGCAACAATAACTAAAATACAAGATTGCAGTCAATATACTGTCGGTGAGTAATATTTTAAATGCTTTACAATAAAATTTTTAAACAGCTATTATATTACTGAAGAATTATATTTTAAAATGTTATTACTGTAATAAAATTTGTGATATTAAAATTTATCTGTATTAATTAGATGAATTTTTTATTAAAAATATTACGAGTAGTTTAAATTTAGCAAAAATTTTATTATAAAGATAATTACAATTACATTTTTAAATAAAAATGATGTCTTTGATGTTACAAAGAAAAATTTTTTAATCCTGTTTCTTTTTATTTTCACTGCAGTATTCGATGATGGAGATATAACAACTCTAAGAAGATCAGCATTGTGTTTAAAAAGTGGTAGGCATTTTGCAGAAAGTGAAACCTTAGATCAATTACCACTTACTCATCCAGAGCATTTTAGTAATCCTGTCGTTGGTGGTGGAGGAAGAAGAGGAAGACGAAGACTTTTGTAAGCTTTTATTCTTTTTTCGTTTGTTTAATGCATTTCCTAAGTTTTTAAAAGCAAATTTTTAGTAGTTGAAGTAGTTCAAAATTTAATTAGTTAAATTTTTTTTTTACAAAAATTTAAAAAATAAAAACTTTTTATTGAATTTTTAAATTTTAATAAATGCTAATATATGGACTATAAATGTTTTTTAAAAATGTGTATTTTTAAATACTTTTAGAGTAGACCTACACACTCCACTTATTTTTTTTTTTTACATATTTTAAAATATATTTTCAGAGATGATAGCAGCGGAGATGAAGATACAAATAGAAAAGGGAAAGCTAAGGAAGAAAAAGAAGCGGATGTTGGCAAAGTGGTTTGCGTTGAATTAGGAGATAAAAAGAAAGTTAAGGACAATTGGTTTCCAGGTTTAGTTGTTTCACCAAATGCTCAAGATACAGTTCAAATAAGAGTGAAAGATGAATATCTTATTAGGTCTTTCAGTGATGGCAGATAGTAAGTGTTAAAAAAATTATTATTATTATTATTATTTTTTTTTTTGAGTTTTAATGAGTTATTCATGTAAAATTTTTATAATTTCAGTTATACGGTGCCTAAAAAAGAAGCATCAGAGTTTACTAGAGAAATTGGCATTAAAGTGGACAACAATACTCTTAAGACAGGTATGAATCCGACCTCTTGTAAATTTATATAGTTTGTTTGTAGAAAAATTTAGAAATGGTAGTTATTTCACCTAGCATGAAATCGGATAAATTACTAGCCTCAAGAATTAAGATGCTGGGGAACTTTTTGGCGGTTCTTTGGAAAATTATATTACTCTGACAGGAATAAATGAGAACCACAAGATTTAAAACAGGAAATAATATTAATGCAAATGCCATAGAGACGGGGAATTGGTGGGGAAATTCAAAATACGCGTACAGGACCAAGAGGAAAAGAAGGCTAATTTGAAAATTACAATCGTATTTGGGAAGAAGATTTCTTGAATAATTGAAAATAGGAGGTTGAATAATGAGGCCCAAATACAACCACTATTTTAAACAGAGGAGGGAAGAAATTAATTTTTTCTCATTTCTACTTTCAGCTGTAGAAAAAGCACTGCATTTTATTGATAAAGATGAATTGCCCCCTCATTGGGATCGAGAGCTTTTATTTGGACTTTTGGAAAGTGATATCAATAGTGATTCTGATGATGGCTTGGATTCTGACGTAATATATTCTATATTTTTCAAATTTAATAAAGTTTTTTGTAATATTTATTTCATGTGCTTAATAATAAATCATTTTTAGAGTTCCGATGACGAGCCTAGAGAAGAAAAAGATCATTTCGTTGCGCAGCTATATAAATTTATGGACGATAGGGGAACTCCAATTAATAATTGTCCCTCAATCGGTGGTAAAGACTTAGATTTGTATAAACTTTTTAATGTTGTTCATAAATTAAATGGGTACAATAGAGTTACTAATAGAAATCAATGGAAAAACGTATCTACAAAGTTGGGATTGGGCATCGCAGCCAGTACCATTACTCAGGTAAATTTTAATTTTGAACAACAAAAATTGTTGTTATTTGCCAAAGTATCATAAATAAATTTTTCATTCGATTGTTTAGGTCAAACATGCATATAAAAAGTATTTACACAGTTTTGAAGATTTTTATCGAAAATTGGGATGCACTATGGTCAATCATCCAAGAAATAATAGAGCTAGAAATAAAAGTGGAAGAAGTTTAATAAGAGATAGAGATCGCGCATCTAACGTTACTAATCCTTCAAAGGTATTATTAACTAAGTCGTATAATTTTTTAATCCATTTCAAAAAAAAAAAAAATTTAATATTTATGCAATGTTTATTTTTAGGTCAAATGCGACATACCTACCGTTGAAAATTCTAAAAATAATTCTAAATCAGAAGAAATTCCCGAAAAAGATATTACGTATGAATCAAAGCCCAAAGAAGAAATTGTTTCCGATAAAAAAGAAGACAAAATAAAAGTTAAAGAAGAAGAAGTCGAAAAACAGTTGAAAAATAAAAATTTGAAGAAAGAATCTAATGAAAATGACGAAGTTTCGGAAAGTGAGGAAAGCGTTAGCGTCTCGGAAGAAGCGTACACAATGAGCAGACCAACTTCGAGTTTACGAAAAAAATTTCCCACTCTAAAGGCATCACCTGTTATTGTTAGGGAAAAACGAAAGGCAGACGGTACTCTCGATGGAAGAAAATGTAAACGAACCAGAGTATCAAAGTCTCGATCAAGTAGTGCATCCGACCTGAAAACGGGAAGCGACAACGAGGAAGATGGGAAAAACAAGGAAGTCGTAAATCAGGTACGAAAGAAACATATTACACAATTCGATTTAAAAAAAAAAAATACTTTGTATAAAATCTAAAATTATCGTTTTTATTTTTTATTTTTTTATATAGAGAAATACAACTCGTTCAAGATCCAAAGAAGATATTAAAGTAAAAAAAGAGTTTGAAAAAGAAAAAAAAATCAAAACGGGAAATAATACAGAAACGCAAAAGAAAGTATTACCTGTTAAAGGAAAAAAACACGAGTTGGAAGAGCCACCCATTCCGAAGAAGGGAAGGAAAAGACGAAATACTGATACCGGGGGAAAATCACCAAGTGTAACAGATGAAGACTTAAACTTGCCGTTTTTGCCTACTTACAAATCGGTGTTTATCGGAGATATTCTCAAAATATATTACGGTGCTCCTGGCGAACCTAAAGTCATTTACGAAGCAAAGGTTGTTGATATAAAAGAAAACGAAACGGGCGAAACGGTTTACTTGGTACACTATGCGGGTTGGAATTCTCGTTACGATGAATGGGTTAAAAGAAATAAAATTGCTGATAATTTAAACTGGACTCCGGCTCGAAACAAAGTGGGTTCAGTTAACAAAGTAAGAATTTTTCTCTTATTTACGTTTTTATATTTATTTATTTTTTATAATTTATAAAATTTGTTCTTCAGACGTCTAAATCAGCAGTTCAAAAGCGTAAACAAGTTCTTGTTAAAACCGAACAGGCTTCTAATGTGGGAACAACCGTAAATACTCCGTCACCTGTTTCTTCAACAACTTCAGGTAGAGGTAAATCTGCTGTCTCTTCTGCACAAGGAGTAGGTAAAAGAATAACGAGGAATACGGGAGAAGTTAAATCTACCAAACGGACTCGTAAAATTTCCGGACAAAGTGGTGAGTTATGATTAATAAAAAAAAATATTTATTCATTTATTTTTTGTATAATTTCTAATTTTTTTTTTTGAACATTGAAATAGATTCTGAAAGTGAAAGCGATTTAGAAGAGTCTACATCTGAAAATGAAGGAACCAAGAAGGTTTTAACTGCTACCAAAGAAGAGAATGCATCTAAAAATCCTGGTCCTAAAAAATTAGTTAAATCAACGAAAAAAAAAATATTTAAAAAATCGGAGGAAAAACCAATTTGTGAAAATCCAACCGAAGGTACGGTTAAAGTCAAGCGCGCTAAAAAGTTAGGTTTATCAAAGGAAAAAGAAAATGAGGAAGAAAAGAAAAATGCAGCAAATTGTGAAGAAGTAGAAGATGAGAAAAATTCAACTGAACCAAAGGGCTGTGATTTTGATTTGAATGAAATACGGTCGGAACTCAAAGGGATTGACAAGGCTGTAAAAGTCAATGCCGAGTTGGTTATTCCAGAAACTTCTAAAGAAACACCGGCTCCCGTTACAACGGAAACAAAAATGCCTTCTCTCGAAGAACCCGTCTGTATTAAATCGGTTACGTCCTCTCCTTCGTCGGAAGTTGTAAAGGAAGAAAAAGAAGAAGTTGTTAAAGTGGCAGAAGAACCACCAATCCCTGAAAAAAAAGATGTAAAAGATGATATTTACGAGTTTAAAGAACCTGAACCTTTTGAGTATCAGGAAATTTTGCGACCTATAAATAGAGTTTTCGAAGAGGGAGACCGCTCGCCTGAGAAAATAATTAAAAAACCGATTGTAATGCCGGAAAAAAGAGATGTTTGTAAATTTGAAGTTGATGTTAAGAGTAGATTTAGGAAAACGATTGGTAAAAAAATGAAAGAGGGAGGAAGCAATGTGGATGCAATTAAAGAAAGCAATTTAAAAAGTGATAAACCCGAAGCATTACCCAAAATCGAATCCTTCTTGGTTAACGACTACTTTAAAAAATCTCCTGAAAAAGAAATGCCTTTATTGAAAACAGAAACTGAAGTTCAAAGGTCAGTTACACCACCTGAACCCGTTCGAATACATTTTGCAGTTACTGAAGAGGTATAATTTTTTTTTTTTTTTTTTTGTAATTGAATTTTTTTCATTTAAAATTTTTTTGTGCCTTAATAAATAATTATTGTTTTTTTTTTTTTTTTTTTGAATTTTAGAAGCCTTGCACGGAAAAAAAAGTATTTGGAACAAAACCCGAAGAAACATCCGAAAAAGAAGTTATTTTTAAATGTCAAAACGAAACGGAAACGTGTAAATCGCCGCCGGCATCGAAAATTTCTCCCGAACCTCCTAATCTCACCCCCGTCACTAATAACCTCCTCACCCTGATAAACGAAGATAATAAATCCAACGACGATGCATCTAAAAATGAAACATCGCAAGAAGATGAAGATGATCCCATAAGTGCCGCAATTCAACGAGTTATTGCTCAATCGTCGATAGATGATGACAGTGATGACATGGAGCTGTTTACTGTATCCACGTCATCTAATACAATCGTAGAAGAAATACCTAATCGTTCGAAAAGTAGTTTAATACCTAACGAACCTAATACGGAACTGTTAATTAGTAAAAAAGTTTGTTCAAAAAGAAAAAATGTTGGAAAGAAAATCGCAATCAGTAAAGAGTTTGTGATAGACGATTCTAGTAGCGAGAGTGATAGTGATAGTGCAGAAGAAAGATTGGTCATTGTTAATGACGACGAATCAACAAACGATTCAAATCGTAGCCAAAAAAATACAGTAATTGGATCGGAAGAAGACAAGAAATCAGTACCGACCGAGACGAAATTCAAGAAAGTAGAAGAATCAAAAGAAATAATAAATACGGAACCTTCAACAACACCACTCAAGGTAAAAATTTAAATTTTTTTTTGATGTCGACATTTATAGAAAATTATTTTTTTATTTTATAATTATTATTATTATTATTATTATTATTATTATTGCAGAAAACGCCCAATTCCGATCCACCGTTAAATAAAAAGACAAATTCTCAATCGAAAGTGGAAGAGGATTGGAAACATCAGAAACAGGAGAAAATATCAGAAGAAGAAGGTGAAAATAACATTCGATCTCTTCTATGCGAAGAAACTATTCCCGGAAGTCCAGCCCCTCTAACGGAAAACAAAGAACCCGCGGAGCCAAAAATTAACGTTTTGGAAATACAATTTGCAAGCAGTTCACAACCCGTATCACTCCCTCCTCCCCCTCCTTCGGTATGTAATAATAAAAGGGAAGGAAATGATGCGGCGGTCGTGATGGACAACACGCCGCCAACAACTCCAGAAAGCAATTTGTCTTCTATGTCGGGATCTCCTAGAGAGTGAGTCGCATCATTTTTTTATTTTGATCCTTTTTTTTTTTTTTTTTTTTACTTTTTTTATTTTAAATGAAATTTTATTTCAGTGATAGAGTCGGTTCTTCGTCTCTGGATAACGAAAGTTCAAAATCTCTTAGAGATTCATCGGAGGTCGACTTGGATAACGAACGTGAGTTGAACCGTTTTTTCTTTTTTTTTCAGTTTAAAAATTTACATTTTTTAATAACACAATTTTTATTTAAACGAATTTTATCATTTCAGAACGAATTAAAAATTTAAAATTTCCTAAAAAGTCTGAAAAGGATTTGGAACCGTTGTCGAAGAAAAAACGTCGAAGCAGGAAAAGATCCGAATCGTTGTCCGAAGGAGTGGGTAAAAGAGTTCGTCAACCCGTTGGCAGACCTCCTAAAACCAAAGATTTGGGAAGTGACAGCGATGACACGTCAGAAAATTCCCAAACCGGAACTCACGCCGTCAACACGGAATCGTTAATTAATTCTAGATCTCAAAAGCCATCAAAGTACAATTTTTACTGCGAACTCGGTGAGAATAATAAACCTCCTTCAAGTTCTGAAAATATTTAAAGTATGAGTATGACGTCATTAAAAATGGACGACAATTTTTCTAATTTTCAGATCCAGAATTGGACGCGACGCAAAGGATAGCACTCCTTGAGCAAAAATTACAAGAATGCAGAAAGACTTATATGAACGTGAAAAGTAAATTAGCGTCAATAGATAGACGAAGAAAGAAGTTGAGAAGGCGTGAAAGAGAAGGTAAAAAAAATTTAAAACACCTTGGAATTCAAATAAAGTTTATAATAAAATAAAATAAAATGAAAAAATTTTTTTTTTAGCTCTTAAAGTATCAAAAATGTTGGAACGAATGACAGAACAATAAAGAGGGGAGAGAGAGAGAGGGGGGCAGTGTCAGAGGCGAAATACAAAAAAAGGAATAAAATTTTTTATTTATTAAAAGGAGATCACACACACACACACACACACACACACACCATTTGGTTGAAAGATACAATAAAGATTATATAAAATAGCCAGGATTATGCTCCCATTGCCTGTCAGTGAAAATTTATTTTGTTAAAAGAGGGAAATTTAAAAAAAAAAAAAATTAAAACATTTTTAAATAATTTATTTATTTTTTTTTTTTGTTTACATTTTCAGAACAAAAAAATTATTTGTCTCTCAGTTGCCATCAGGACCTGCTGTTAACGTTGATTCAATTAGAAAATAAATTTTTGAAATTACGATATATATATATATATATATATATATATTCCAGTGAATAAATAACACATTTTACTTGTTGTCATGTATTTTTTTTATTATTATTATTTCTACAAAAGTTTTTATAGAAAACAAATTAATTGGTAACTATTTTTTTTTTTTTTTTAATGTAAAATTTAAAAAATTTTTATTGTTTTAAACGATAAAAAAATGTTCCGATGTAGAAATATATATATATATATATATATATATATATATATATATATATATATATATATATAATGAAAGTGACACAGTGTATTCGTTAATTTTATTGTCAATAATTGTATAAATTATTTTTCAGTACTTAAGTTGTAAATTTATAGAAATATTTATGAATAAATTTTTAATTTTTTTTAATAATAAAATTAATTATATTTTATTCGAATGTAATATTTATTTTTTTATGTGCCTTTTATTTAAATTTTATAAAATATTTGAGAATAATTTAATTGTGTTCTAAAGAAAAAAATATGATATATTTCATTTGCCTGTGTGTGTGTGTGTGGAAAATTATATGATTTTTTTTTTTAAATTTAAGCTTCGTAACTGTGTAATTAATAATACATAATATATTATTATTATTATTACTCGTTTTTAAATTGTGCATTAAATAGGAAAAAAAGTTTTTTTTTTTTGGTTAAATTTGAAGAATTTAATTGAAATTCAATGTACTTTAAAAGTAATTTTTTTAAAACAAATTTATTTTCTCTATGACTTTATCATTCTGTAAAATGAAGGTATTATAATGTGAGAAAGAATATTATTTTTTTTAAACTCAACTTAAACTTATTATTTTAAATATAGTTTGTTAAAAACAAGTTTTTATTATTAAATTTTTATATAATTATTTTAAGGAAAATTTTTTTGTGTAAATAAACGAAATAAGTTATGTAAAATATACTTAGTAGTGAAATTTAATATTTATTATTGTATACATTTTATGCTTTGTGTTTAATAAATTTATATATGTATGCTATGTACAAAGGCACATCTATGTGTAATTAATATTTAAAAATGAAAAGAAAAAAAAAAGAAATTTTGTGAAACGAACCTGCTTTTAAGTCTCTCATAAATAGTCTTTATTTATTTATTTATCTCTTTGTCAGAATATTTATATATTAGAAAAATTTCAAAAGAATGGGGAGTACTGCAAAAGGACTCATCTCTGGATTTATATGCAGGTTATGTTCAAAAATGAACAGATATGTTATTTTAATATATAGTGAAGAAGGAGAAAGAATGGGTTTGGCAGAAAAAATTAATTTGCATTTGCCTATAACTGTAAGATGTGTTCTTGATAAAACTTTTAAATGTATTTAATTTTCATTTTGCTCTATTTAGCTGCAATTTATTAATATATTTATATCTGTACATCATTTTTCATTAAGAAAAATTTCATTCTAATAAAAATTATTTTTTTTTTTATTTTCTAGGTAACGAAAAATGATCCACTACCGAAAACTGTTTGCCTAAATTGTATCAACAGACTTGAAAAACATTCACAAATGATTCAAATGATTACTAGGGCAGAAACTAAATTTGACATTTACAAAGAAGAATTGTCAAATAATGGTTCTCAAAGATGTATTGATGGCAATGAAAGAAACCTATATGAAAATAATGACAGTGATAGTGATAATTGAAAAAAAAAAAGTTCAATCATTTTGTAATAAAATTTTAACATATACATATATAAATAAATCAATCAAAATATTAAATATAACAATTATATTGTAAATTATGAAAAAAATAAGAAGTGTACTATTACAGTTTTATTTTATATAATTGTAATTTAATTTGTTTAGAAAATAACTCGATAAATTATTCCTTTTGATATGTGTTCTGCTGGTATTAAGTGTGTAAAAACGACAGAAGCAATTTCAACACAACTTATATTAAAATTGTTTCTAATTTTTATACATTATTATGTAGTTGGTCTGCATAAAAGTCTTCATCAATAGTATTATTGATCTTCCTTTAATTTCTTAAAAAGTTTACAAAACTAAAGGTTGTACACATTTTTACTTCAGAAGTTTGTCACTTAAAATGTCATAACTTAAAATTTTTTCAAAGTCCTGTTCTTTGGCAAGCTTGTTTCGTATTACACATCAATTGAAAATGTCAAATTGACATTTTACCTCTTTTTTTTTTTTTTTTTTTAACTTTAATCAAAGTACTGCAAATGAGAATTCTTTTTAAGCATGTAAAGCTATAATTTTATGGTGAATGTTTTGCATAACACAGGTTCAAGTTACATTTATTTGAATTTAAATTAGTACTTGTTTTTTATTGTTAATGGTTTCCATGAAATGTGTGAAGTTGAGGTAAACATCCAACTCAAAGATCCAAACAGTTTCATAAGTTAAATGTAATTCAATTTGCAATTAAAGCATATGGAAAAGGTAAAATAGTTCACTGAATAATTCAAATATACGACCATATTTAATAAATATTAATGACAAAACCGAGTTGAATTTAACAGTATTGTAGGTTAAATTTAAACTTCATTTGTAAGAGTTTGTTTATTCTATCTTAATATAGTTTATTTTATCTTAATTTTTAAAACAGTGAAAAACATTTTTGTGCTTAGGAATAATTTTCAAAACTAATACAATCATAAAATATTCAGAAGAAAAATTTCTAATTTTTTTCTACAAATTTTTAGGGAAAAATCTCTAGGTAGAATTTTTAGGATAAAAGTATCTCACGACTAAAATTGTTTTTTTTAAACAATATATTAACAGCTAAAGTGTAAAAAGTATATTGTAAATTTAAAATTTATTGATAAATTAGTTGTAGTACAACAACACTTTATTATTTCTCAAACACAATATTTTTTAAAAATGTCGCAATGTAGTAGGTAGCTATCTGAAATTTCTTTTGAATTAAGTGAATGTTTATATTTAAAAATAAATTAATAATTCGAATTGACAATAAGTTTTGTGTGTTTTAAAAGAAAAACCTGATTATATGTTAGTTGTAACTTTTTAAGAGCCAAAAATTAGTTTACAGAGTAAGCTTTTGGGCAAGGAGAGGAACCGCCATCTACAATTTTTTTAAACTACTTTTATAAAAATGGTGGATTAGGTTAATGATTTTATTTAAGAATTATTCAATATTAAATATTAGCGTACGCCTTTATTACTTAAATCGCGTACAAATTAATTGTTTAAAATAATATGACAATTTTTAAACTTTCTCACTATATTTGGTTTCATTGGCTTTACAATGTGTGAAATTTGTTCCGATTTTTTGGGACTTTTGTTGTCATGTAAGTATTATTGTACTTGTCAGCCCGGAAAGTTTTTAGTAAACGTAAATTATTATTACTACTTTACGATAATTTTTCAAAAAAAAATTAATCTAAAAAAAAATTAAATTAAAAGAATATACATTTAACGTGTTTTAAAACTGTATTTTCCTTGAATTTTTTTTTTTTTGTAAAAAGTTTATTTTAAATATTATTAATAAATTGTTGCACTATTTATTTTAAAAATTAAAGGGAAGTTTTTTTTAAAATTCTTGCTGTAAATAACAATTTCTTACTTAGTTTATAATGATATAATTTTGATTGATAACTACTATTTAACAGTATCAGCTGAATAAATTCACTCATTAAAATTAAAAATTTTAATTTCATAAGACAATAATTTACAAACAGTTTTAACTTATAAAACCTTACTGATAATTAATAAATTTTTTTTCTTTTCAAATTTTTTGTAATGTAATTATTTGTTTTTATTTTAAAGTTAATTTTTTCTATTTAAGGTTTATGAAATTTCAAATTATTATTATTATTTTTTTTCAGATGGCAATAAACTGTCAGAAACATTTTATGAAACTGCAGTTTTAAAAAAAAATGATATTGAAATTTTTTATCAATTTATACATTTATTTAATCAAAGGTAAAAAAAAAAAAAAAAAAAAAAATTTTTTTCTAACATTTTAAATTATGAATATTTATGAAAGTTTTAATAATTGGTTCCTGTAAATTTAATAATATCATTTTATTTCAGGCAATGTTTATGTATACTTAGAGATGCTAAAAATTTTGAAAGATTTAGTTACTTTTCCCAAGCAGTTATATACTTAGCTATTTTAGAAATAAAAGATTTACTTAAAACCTTGTCCAATACAATAGTTAGTAATTCAAAGAAAGGACAAGATCATGAAAAAGAAGAAATCATAAATAATTTAAATCAAAAAAATGGAATCAGCGAAGAAAATAGAGAAACGTGGAATTTGCAGGAAAAAGAAAAATTTTTTAATTTCATATCAAAATTATTTCTTATGAATTTTCCATTATATCAAGTAAATGTCAAAAATCTAAATTTTGCATATATTTTATTTTTCAAATTGGGAGGATAAAATTTATTTTGAAAAATTTTAATCTTTATTTTTTTTTAAAGGCTTATAAACTTGGCTGTCACACAAAATCCGATGATTTGTCTCAATTAGAATCTTCTAGTATAAATGTTTTTTGTGAAATTGCCGATATGGAAGTACCATATTTTTTAATTAAAAATGTCTCTTTATTTTGTAAATGTGGAGGATTTCAATTAATAACAAAATGTTTCGAAGATCAAACATCAGAAAGTTTATCAGTTTCACTAGCACATTCTCTTACTGCTATAGTTTGCAATGTTAAACTCTGGCTAAACACTCGTTCAATTATGACTTTATTCGTTCCTGTTAGGTCCTGTATACTTAAATACATGTGTAGTCTTCAGGATAAAGATCTCCGTCTACCTGGTATTAAAAACACAGCTGGTCAGTTTAATATATTTAGAAAACCATAAAATAAAAAACTCTTTAATGATTGTTTGTTAAAAAAATAATCTTTTACTTACAGAATATATGTGGAATGCGATTAAAGAACCGTTCGATTCTCCCACATTTGATAAAGATGGATTAGAATTGGCTTTTAAATATTTCAATAGTTCAACATTAACAATGAGGCTTGCTGGAATTGCTCAAATTAATAGTTACATTACTGTTTTTAATGAATTATGTAATAACGAAAATATGATTGAAGTAGAATCAGTTGGGCAGAACTTAGCAGACTGGCTAATCGAAGTACAAATAATTTCACATATTTTTGGTCCAAATTTGCATATAGAGGTGAATTATTACAATAATAATAAAATAAATAATACTTTTTATTAACGTATCTTATTCATTTATCTTATTTTTCTTGTTACAGGTTATAAAACAAAGCCATATTATTTTAAACTTTTTAGCCATGGAATGCAAAATAACAAATGAACATATAGATATTATTTGGCAAGCAGCTCAGCTTAAACATTGCAGCAAACAAGTTCATGATTTATTACCTCCTTTTATTAACAATTTGGAAACTGGTCCCGTTTTGTATTTATACAATTTGCTTTGTAAATTAGAACCGAAGGATCACACTGAGCAAGTTAGAATAAGCTAAATTTTGTTGCAAAAAATTATTTCAAGCAGTCGAATTGGAAATATATAATTAAAATATTAAAAATGATATTTTTTACTACAAGGACTTGTTTTTTATTCTAGAGTTTGTTTTTGGCATCTGCTTTAATTAAATTTATCTGGACGAGTGGAGGAACTTATCATACTCCGAACGAACTTCCTTTTTTAAATTTGAATAAAATTGCTCTTTCTGGAATTAAAAGTCATAGTCACGATTTAACGAGCAGTGAAAATTCTGTTAGCCTTGAAGCAAGCGCAACCGAAGATGAAAATGTATAAATTATTTCTAATTAAATTTTTTTATATATTATTATTCTGTTTTAAAAATTGATTATTTTAAATTTACAGATTGATAGTAGTCAACACAGCGAGGCTCTTAAATCACCCAGCGATGAAAGTGAAGGCCCGATACCCTGTAAAAAGAAAAGGAGTCATTTTCGAGAAGATCAAATTCATAGATCTGAACATTCTTCTGAAGGTAAGTTATTTATTATTACTCTTTACTTCCTTACACGACTTACAATATTTTTTTTTTTTTTTAAATTTAAGAAAGCTTAAAAGTCGGAAATGCTAATGAAGGTGATGACAACGCAATTGAAGAAATAGATAATGATAATAATGAAGAAGGAGACATTGATGATGCTGAAATTGAAGCTGGGAATGGGGAAAATGATGATGGTGGTGATGATGATGATGATGATAATAATATAAATGATAATAATGAGGAAGATGATGATGATGGAGATAATGATGGTAATGGTAATGGAGATGATGATGATGATGAAGATGATGAAGATGATAACGGTGAAGATGATGATGATGATGATGATGATGACGACGATGATGATGACGATGACGATGATGATGATGACGATGACGATGATGATGACGATGACGAGGAAGATGATGATGATGATGATGATGATGATGATAATCCGAATGATGACGAAGATGAAGATAATGAGCAGGATGAAAATCATGATTTCAAAGGCAGTAAAAAAATAAAAAAGCAACCTTTTTCTGCGCATGCTCATTCTTTACCACGTCAACGGTATGGAAAATATAAATTTTTTCATTTATAATTATATCATTGATCATTCAAATTATTTTCATTTTCTATGCATTTTCGTTTAGGTTATTTAAAAAGGGAAAAATTACAAAATCTAATCGTCTCAACGTCTTGTATAAAAAAAGTCCTTCTCAAGTCAATTCATTAAAAACTAATACGTTACTAAAAGAAGTTTCACTATCTCTATGGAAAAAATATATTACCAAGAGAAAAATTTCAAAAAGAAAAAATGGAGAAGCTAGTAGAAAAGAATTAAAAGAATCTTTAAAATGTAACGTAGGAGGACATCGAAAAAAACATAAAAAAGAAAATAATGGTAGAACTGAAAGCGAAGATGATGCCGACGGTGAAAAATCTGGCAACGAAGATTCAAGTTTAAAATTAAAAAAAAAAGTATTTAAAAAAAGAAAATTTTCTGATTCTGTTTATTCGGGTGAGCCCTAATTTTTTTTTAGAGTTAAAAACCTAAAAAAAGGTTTAACATATATATATATTAATAAGTGAATTTATTTATGTAAAAACTTTTTTTTTAGAGCTTTCTGGAAATTCTTCTGTGAAATATTTAGAAGAGGATGCAGATACTGAAGAGTCTGAATCAGATTTAAAAGGAGCGAAAGAAAATTCAAAATCGAAAAAACAAGAAATATCGTAATTTTCTTTATTAACATTTATAATTTTTGCACTAAAAAATTTATTAATTAATTTTTTTATTCAACTTCATTTATTAAATCTAATCATTTAAACAATTGAAATACAACTAATGGGTTTTTACTTAGATGTGATAATTTTTTTTTTTTATTTTTTAGAAAATGTTTTAAAAGCAAAAGTAAAGTCAATAAAGAACAATTATTAGAAAAAAGTTCAAACGAATCTAAAAATCGTGGGATAATAAGTTTACCTTGTTCAGTAGGTTCAAATGGAGTTATGAATGAATTATCTGGTTTAATAAGAGGAGACGAAATTCACGATTGCCCTTCGTTTCTTCTTGATGTTCATCAAGGAAGGTAATTTTATTTAAAACGTCGTTAACAAATTAAATTTACGACGTAATCGTTTCTATTATTATTATTATTTTATCATTGTATTATTGTTTGAATAGAGATGTCGAAGAAATGAGTTTAGAAGAGGGAGGTAGTTATTCATCTCGAATTAGTAATAAATCGGAAAAAAATATGGCGGATTTCGAAGAAGATTCCGGTTGCGAAGAAGAAGAATTGGCTCAACTTGCTGCTAAAGAAATACAGGTTCCTCCTAATACATTTATTTTATAATATTTATTTAATATCATTTTACTTTTTATTGCTATTTTTGTTTTGTTTTGTTTTTTTTTTCAGTTAAATAATTTGGCATATCATTCAATGAAAGTTCCCTGTAGATCAGGGTTTTCCAGAATTAATACTCATTTCAAAATCGATGATGTCTGTCGTCCTGGAAATACATTATTATGGGATTTACTTCAGGATGATAAAATAGTAATTATTTATTTATTTTATTTTATTTATTTTGTTGGGGGGGTGATGTGATAAATATTAAAAATTATTTAATATTATTTTAGGAACAATTAGGTGAAGTTTTAGCGGCCGAAGCTGAAAAAATTCTTTCAAATTTATTGTGTTACAATACTGAAAGACTTATCAGAATGAAATTTATTGAAGGGTGCCTTGAAAATCTTTCTATGAATTGGTAAGACGTATTATCAGTAACAGGTTTTATGAATTTATATATATGTACATTATAAAAAATAAGTAAATAATTGCAAACCTTATTTATTTAATTATTTTTATTTTTTCCAGGTCCGTCGTCGTGTCTCTTCGACTCCTTCCAAAACTTTTCGTGTCATTCCAGGAATTTCGAGGAACCAATACTCATTCGATAACTACGTGGGCTGAACATAAGCTGCACATGATGAAACATTTTTTTAACAATCTACAAGTTTATTCATTAGAGGGACCAAAATTTTATTCTCATCAGACTGAGATAAATGTTCGACTTCAATTTTTATCTTCCGTATTTTCACCATTAGGTTCTCCAGATTGTTTTAGGTATTTTACTAAAGTTTTTTTTTTTTTTTTTTTTTTTACTCAAAAAAAGAAATTTAATTTTGACATTTTTTTTTTTTTTTTTTGCTTTAAAAAGGTTAAGTTTAAATCAAGTAGATACACTTTGGTCATGTTTGGCTACCGATCCTCAATGTTCGGACGAGTTATTTAGTTGGTTATTGAATAATGCGAGAAGCAAAGGTCAACAGCATGCTTTGGGTATCGATGCCCTTAAATATTTATATATGAAAAAGTTACCATCTTTACCACCTGAAACAATGAGCATCGTGGGCTTGACTCTTTTTCAACAATTGCATAATTTAGCTAGATTTGCATTTTCTCACTCGGATTCTAATTTCGTACGGGACGTCGATTTGGTCGGCATGGACTATTTATGGAAAGTCGCATTAAAAGCAAATAAAACTGGTAAGCGTCATTAATTTAATTTAAAATCTTTTGTAAATAAGTCTTTAAATTTAATTTAAAAATTATTTTTATTATATTCAAGATATAAGCATGTCAGCCATTCAGTACATAAATCAGTATTATATGAGTAGGAATTTGGAATACGAAAAAGAATTTATTTCGCAATGCATGAGTTATTTAGCGTCGGCTTCACTTGAATTGGGAACAGCCGAAGAATCGAGTTTGTTGTGCATTCAAAGAGCTTTGGTACTACTTAAAACTCACTTGGAAACATTTAAAAAAAGGTACTTTTTTTTTAAAATTTCAAAAAAAAATTTTCAAAATATCAAGTCGAAATATTAACTGAAAAATTCCTATTTCAGATACGCTTATCATCTTCGCCGATGGATGTTGGAAGGGAAATGCGTTGGAAGTCACGTGCAAATAATGAGTGGAGAAAGAGGTTGCGTACCAATACGGGTGATTGTTCAACCTGCAGGCCTGACTGAAAAAGTAACATTAGAACTTTTAAGCAGTGATTATGTTGCTGAATTAAGAGCAGAGGTTGCCAAGTGGTGGGAAAACATACCCGTGAGTTAATTTGCGTTTAAAACAATTTTTTTTTTTTTTTTTTTAACAAACTTCAAAAAATTTTTTGATTTTTTTTTGATTTTTTAAAGAAAAAATTAAAAGAAGACAAAGATATCGTGTCACTTAGTAATCTTCTCAGTGATGGACCCATACGAATGATTACACAGGGTCAAGAGCTAACCACTGAACTTGACGAAAAAACATTACAAGAAATGATGTTCAAAGATTCTCAGGTAAAAAATTTTAAAATTCCTTCTTGATTCGATTTTAATTTATGCATTTATTCATTTTATTTATTTATTTTTTGTTTTGTCCACTTTAGTTGGTTTATTTGTCGGTTGGAGCTTCAAGACCTCAAAAAATTAGAGATTCTTCCGATTCACCATCAACTCTTCCCCCTCCGTCACGGGAAAATCTTCCCACTCTTCTTTTATTACAACAACAGTACTTTGAACAATTGTTTCACCTAATGCAAACTTTAAGTGCAATGAAAACTACAGTCAAAGGAGGCGTATGTACCTTACCAATTTTATTTATTTATTTACTTATTAATTTGTTATACATTATTAATTAAATTATTTTTATTTACAGCATCAAATTCCACACACCAAAGCCCAGGTATTATCAAGAAGAGTTTGGGACATTCTCACGCTGTTGCCTACAAGTCCAAAACTTTTAGAAGGATTTCAAAATTTAGAAAATTCTAGCGATGTGACGTTGCAAGAATTATTAGATCCATCAACTCCTCAAAAGCTCATGTACTCGTTATATATAGTAGAATCTTTATGCAGGGCTTCTAATCAGAAAAAGCACAAGGTCTGTGCAAAACTTTTTTTATAATCATATGAAAATTTTCTTATTTTAATTATTTTAATTTTTTTTTTTTTTTTTTTTTTTTTTTTTCAGATGACTCGAGTCGATGAAAAAGAAAATAATGTAAACAAACCTTGGAGTGAAATATTTATAAAACAAGGAGGTTTGAGACATCTTTTTGACATATTTATGTCTGGTAATTTATCTGGTTTTTTGTTTAAACGAATACAAATGACATTGACATTCAATAATAAAATATTGCTCATTATACTTTTTTTTTTTTTTTTTAGGTACTCTTCAAAGAATAGATGGTAGCGAATGGCAACAAGATTGTTTGGCTTCACTTTTGAAACTACTGTGTCAGTTGGGTATGGTTCAAGGTGACAGTAGAACTGAATCCGGTGAAAATGACAACACGCCTAGAAATAAACAAAAAAGAATAAAAAAAAGTAATTTAGAAAAACCAATTTCTCAACTTAACGAAGCCATGTTGCAAATGTTAAATGTTGATGGAGTCATGACGAGGCTTACCAGCATTTTATACGATGCGTCTCTTCCTCGAGACCCCAATCATTACAAAACTGGATTCTGGGGTCGTGCTCAGGTACTTAGACATACATTTTTAATGTTTTTTTTTTTTTTTTTTTTTTTTTTGATTAAATTAAAGAAGGTGTACACAAATGCAAATATAATAAAATGGAGGTCAGAGAAATTTATCGAACAAAAACTTTATAAAAATTAAATTATAATATAACTTTTAATAAAAAAAAAATTCTTATTCAGGTAGTTCATTACGCAATGTCACTTCTCGTTTCATGGATGCATTCAGGAAATTCAGTTCGAGAAAGACTTTTTAATTCTTCTAATTTATCTCTATGGTTGAAACGTTTGGTATTAGAAGATCCCGAACCTGCCGTCAGAAGAGAGGTTTGCACTGCCTTATATCGATTATGTCTGTGTACGACGGGTTGTGCAGATTCAAGTGACACGTCATTTTCTCTCGTCACTCCGATGCTGACGAAACTCCTTGAATTCTTGTCCATTGCCGAAAGTATGGGTCCCCAAAAATATGAGGTGATTTTTTTTTATAAAACAAAGAAAAAAAATTATAATTATTACATTTGTGCGAATACGAAATTTTCCCAATTTTCAATTTTTTTTTTTTTTTTTTTTTTAGACTCCACTTCATCAGTCGGTTGAAGATGGCAAAGAGCCGTATGGGCCAGCATGCAGAGATTATTTCTGGTTGCTTTGTCGTTTAGTGGACAGTTTATCTTCAGATTTAATTAAAGGTTAAATAATCATTTCGAATGAATTAGATGTTTGTTTAAAAAAAAACAATTCTAATATAATTTTTTAAAAAGCAGAAAGCATTGAAGATCCACAAGGATGTTTGTTAGACATAGATGCGTTGGCGCGGTTGCTTGCAAATTCCATCATAACGAGAGATTATTTAGAAAGCAGGCATAATACAGTTGAAGATAGTGGCCTTATCGGATTACTAAATTTAGAGACAAATGTCGTCAAACATTTTCCTCCTTTTAAAACGAGTAAAGAAGGCCAAGATTTTTTAATTCAGGTATTTATATAGTTTTTTTTAAATGTAGATTATACCGTATACAAAAAAAAAAAAATCAACAAAAATTTCATGGCATCATTCTGGTGCAACATTTATATTTGTTTTATTTTACTATTACATGCAGGTTTTTTATTTGATTTCGTTTTAGCTATTTGAATTTCTATTCGCTTTACCAAATCCAAAGAAAAGGTATTTGCCTAAATGTAAATCTCAATTGGCTCGATCTTCTACATATGATTTGATGGTAGAAATGGTTCGAAGCGCTCCTGAAAATTATTTAATTCTTCATGAAAAAGTTCTTCGACAAAACCAACAAGGTAACCAACGCTTTGTGTAAATACCTAAATTATTAAAAATATATGCAAAATGTATTTATGAATTTTAAATTTTTTTTTTTCAGGACCTCATTATCTTTATCCCTGGGATTATTGGCCTCACGAAGATGTCAGATCTGATTGCGGATATGTCGGATTAACAAATTTAGGAGCGACGTGTTACATGGCATCTTGCATGCAACATTTATACATGATGCCTCAAGCGAGATCTTCCATATTAGACGCAAAATGTGATTCCGGGAGCAAACACGAAGAAACCCTTAAAGAACTTCAAAGAATGTTTGCCTATTTATTGGTAAGAAAAACTTTTTTAAAGCCTTTTTGTAAGTTTCGCGGCAACTAATTAATTAATTAAATTTTGCAGGAAAGCGAAAGAAAAGCGTACAATCCGAGAAGTTTTTGTAAAGTTTACACAATGGATCACCAGCCGCTGAATACGGGAGAGCAAAAAGACATGGCCGAATTCTTTATCGATTTAGTTTCGAAATTAGAAGAAATGACACCGGAATTGAAAAAATTAGTTAAAACTTTATTCGGGGGAGTGATTAGCAACAATGTTGTATCATTGGTAAGTCATTCTCTTTTACGTATTTCTAATTATTTTATTTTTTTTTTTTTCGAATTTGATTTTGTCAATATCGAGTTTTTCGTAATTTTCAGGACTGTGATCACGTTAGTCGAACGCTCGAAGAATTTTACACGGTGAGATGTCAGGTGACCGATATGAGAAATATATACGAATCATTAGACGAAGTAACCGTTAAGGATACGTTGGAGGGTGATAACATGTATACTTGTTCGCAATGTGGAAAGAAAGTTAGAGCGGAAAAAAGGCAAGCGTTACCACCACTAAAATTTAAAAACTTTTAAAATCTTAATTATTCTAATTATTCAAATGAATTTTTAGGGCGTGTTTTAAAAAACTACCTCACATTTTATGTTTTAACACAATGAGATATACATTTAACATGATAACGATGTTGAAGGAAAAAGTCAATACTCTATTTTCATTTCCGTTGAGACTCGACATGTCGGGTTACGTTGAAAAACATTTAATGCCTCAATATTATCAAGAGCAAAGAATGAAATCTCAACTGAGTAGTAAATCGGATGAATTATCGGATACCGATGACTTTAACGAAAGATACGAGTACGACTTGATCGGCGTCACGGTTCATACCGGAACAGCAGATGGCGGACATTATTATAGTTTTATCAGAGATCGAACTGCTCTCAATAGAGACAAATGGTTTTTATTTAACGATGCCGAAGTGAAGCCATTCGATCCTAATCAGTTGGCGGCTGAATGTTTCGGAGGTGAAATGACAGTAAGTTTAAATTAATCATCGTTTGTCTATTATTTACAAAAAAAAAACACAAATATGTTTTTAGTTGATTTATTTCCCCCCTTATTAGTGAAAATAACATGAAAAAGTCATTGGGTTGTGTGTCGGATGTGAAAAATTAAGGAGAGAAAATAAAGCAGAATTCAAAGAAGATATTATATCTTTATTATTTGACTTGGCCTGTTCTTACTAATCCCAGTTTACTTTAATTAAAAAAAAAAAAAAAAAGAAGTAGATGCAAGAGTTTGATGCTCGATCCTGTACAAAATAATTAAATTTACATTTTAGAGCAAAACTTACGATTCCGTCAACGATAAGTTTATGGATTTCAGTTTTGAAAAGACAAATAGTGCTTATATGCTTTTTTATGAATGGTGTAGTGATTCTGTTGAGCAAAGATGTTCAAAAGATGAAAGTTTCGATGGAAACGAAATGGAACAGTCAAGTAGTAAAGAAATGACGGAGCAAAAAACGGTCGTTTTACCACAGTTCGAATTGAATAAAGATTTAGAAGAATGGATTTGGAGGGATAACATGCATTTTCTAAGAGATAAAAATATATTCGAACACACTTATTTCAAGTTAGTAAAAAATGAAAATGTTATTTAAAAAAAAAAAAAAAAAAATATCAAAAACCAAAATATTTTGGTAATATATATATATATATATATTGATTTTTCCTTCTTGCAGTTTCATGTGGCAAATATGCGGACAAATTCCTCAAACGTTGGTCAGTCAAAGTTCAGACATCACAAAACTAGCAGCTGAGCTTTCAACTTCTTTTTTTTTAGAAACTTACATACATGCCAAAGAAAAAGTAAAATTAATTACTTTGTTTATATATTATATTATTATATTATATTATTATATATATTATATTTTAGCCTATGATGGTTCAGTGGGTCGAATTGGTTACCAAACAATTTGTATCCAGTCGAGCTGCTTGCGAATGGTTTTTAGAACACATGTCTAGAAACGATTGGTGGCCCGTTCAAATTTTAATTAAATGTCCAAATCAAATGATTCGGCAAATGTTTCAAAGATTATGCATTCACGTCATACAACAATTAAAGTAAGTCGGAAAAATTATTATTATTATTTTTTTTTTAAATTCCATCACGATGGGATTCTTTTTAATTAATTAATCTTTTTTCTCTCTCTCTCTCTCTCACTAATAGGCAAAGTCACGTTTCGTTATATTTAAAGTCTGATTCAGAAGATGAAGGTACTGAAGATTCAGATGTAGAAAAATTAGGAACTCATTCTTGCGTTACTCTTTTTGTTAAAAAATTATTATTATTGGTTTGTACTCTACTTGATTCCACCGTTGATTATTTAAACTATTATTTTTTCGTAAAATTAATAATAATTTTTTTTGTGTTTTTTTTTTCTAGCTTGACCATGGAACGACAAAAGCTCATTTAAAACATTTGACTGAATATTTTGTTTTCTTGTACGAATTTAGCAAAATGGGTGAAATAGAATCTCAGTTTTTAATTTCAGTTCAAGCCATATCGAAAATGGTTAATTTTTACCTCGGGCAAAAAACAACGGATTTTGTAAGATGTTCTATTCTACCACGATTTGAAATTTTCAAAATTATAATCAATCAAGTAAAAAAAAAAAAAAAAAATTATAAATAATTTTTTATTCAAGGTTGAAATTTTAAGCGAAGAAGAAGATGAAGAAGATGCTTTACCACCTTCCGCCGACAGATACAAACCAGCATCTTTAGAAAAAATGATTACGCTCATTGCGACTCTTGTAGAGAAATCCAGGGGTCCAGACAAACGTTTGGAATTGACTCAAATGGACATGAATGCCATCGCGGGCGGCAAATGGTTTCCCTTCATTTATCAACAAACCAAAGATGCCATTAATTTAAATCAAACTAGAAATTTAATTTTTGCCTTATGTCAATATAACGATCGATTAGCGCAAATGATAGTAACCATGATTTTTCAAACAATAGCGAGGCATACGGAAGTATGAAATTATGTATTTCTTAAAATATATTATAAATTATGATTATTATTATTATTTAAATAACATATATATTAATTTTTTATTTAGATAAGTCAGCCATTTTTAAAACTTTTAACACTTTTAACGGATCCGACGAGCGTGCCTAGCACGTACAGTACTCTGGAAGGAATGCCTTGTTTTTCTCAATTAGTGTTACAGGGGATTTGGGATGTAAGAAGTCCCGATATTATTATTTATTTCCTTCAAATTTTTCTATGTTAATATTACGTAATGAGTTTAATAATTTTTATTTAAAGGTTGCCGAAATATGTCCGATACCGGTTTTAGATTGGTTAGCGGTTCAAGTATCTCGAAATCCTTTGGCTCATAGCCTTGTCTTACAAAATTTAGATCAATGGGTTGAACCGTACCTAATGCAAAGCTGCAATCAAAGAGTGAGAACGGGTAAATTTATTTAAATATTTGTATAAATACAACTAATCGTTTATTTTATATTAATTTTTTTTTTTTTTTCTCCTCTTTTTTTTCAAGCTGCCGCTTATTTGTTAGTTTCACTGGTACCTAATGCACATTTTCGACAATGCTATAGATCGGCGAGAGGATTAATGCACCCGAGGGAATTGCTCATGAATCAAGAAGCTCAAACGGTCCTTCACGAAATTTACATGTTATTACTTAGAAAATTGAAAGCAGCCAAAAAGTATTCGGACGTGCAAGACTACGGTCCGACAAAATTAACAGCTTATTTTACTTTACTTCTTTATTTCTGTCCTACTAAAACTGAAAAATTGATGGTAATAAAAATTTTTTTTTTGCCAAGGAACTCATAGTTTTTTTTCTAAAACTTTTTTTTTTTTTTTTTTTTTAGTTCGGACCATTTTTTATGGATTTATGGAATTTATTCCTCCCAAACTTATCGGAACCTTCAATATCGGTACATTATAACAAGCAAGCGTTATTGTCCTTTTGGCATCATGTTTGCGTTGATTGTCCGGAAAATGTTAATCTCATACTTAGTAATCCCGTCGTCACAAAAAATATCGCTTTTAATTACATTCTGTAAGTAAAAAAAAAAAAAAAAAAAAACCTCTTTCTTTTTATGCATTTACTCGCGCCATTAAAAGAAAAAAATTTATTGTTTTTTTTTTTTTTTTTTTGTTTTTTTTTCCAGGGCTGATCATGAAGATCAAGAAATAGTTATGTTTAATAGAGCAATGCTTCCAGCTTATTATGGAATTCTTAGACTTTGCTGTCAGCAATCTAGACAATTCACCAAACACTTGGCCAATCATCAAAATTTAAATTGGGCATTTAAAAACATAACTCCTTATCCTAATCAATATCCGGCGGTAAGTCTTTAAATTGTTTTTTTTTTAAGGAGTGTTTTTCTAAAAAATTTTTTTTGTTATCATCAGGCCGTCGAAGAATTATTTAAATTAATGCAAATATTCGCGACCAAACATCCGGATATGAACGAACAAGAAGTAAATGAAATTATTTCTTTTAGAAAATCAACAATGCAATTGTATTTGGAGGTAATAAGACATTTTTTTTTAACATTTAAATACTTTATAAGATTTTACGAAATTTTAGACGTCTTTATCTTTATATTATTTAGAATATAGATCCGAGAACGTCTTGGGTGACATTAATTTCAGCTTTTAGAATTCTAGTCGAATCAGAAGAAGAAAAATTATTTGTTGTATATAATAACGGATTGCAAGTCCTTTTCGAAGTGAGTTCACATTCAAAAGTATATTTTTTCAGTTAAATTTACGTATTCGAGTACTCTAAATTGTACTTATGAGTAGGAGGTAGACTTTAATGAAGTTCATATTGGTATTTATTTATTTGTTTGTTTTTCAAGTCGTTTCAAACACTTCACACGATATATCACGAAAGCGCAGCTTGCCACGTCGGTACCGAACTCATGGAACTTTTAGGCGTAATTTCTGGAATTTTGAAAACTTTAACCAATTCGCAATCCACCGGTAACGAAAAAGATTCTAAAACCGTTATTATGAATTGCAAAGATTGGGTAGACGTTGTTAGAAAACTGGCAACGTTGCAAAATTCATACAATCCTTCAGAAATGAGAAATTTGGCTTTAGGTAAAAAAATATTCGTATAATTTATTTATTACCCGATTAAACGCGAATTGAGGGGGGAAAAAAAATTTTTTTTATCTTTTATTATAGATTTACTAAAAGAAATTCTCGTACTTATACCAAAAGAAGTCATTCAAATTCTCACTCCTCTTCTTTCTCACTGCCATTCAGCCTTTCAAGAGAGTAGCACGTCAGCCGCACTACCCATGGGACCTTATTTTCCACGGAAAGGCATCAAACCCCCGGGATTTAGTATTAAAGCTCCGAGGAGGCCGATGGTTCAAATGGCCGTACCAAACACTCAAATCGAACCGAAGGTTTGAGCCTTTTTTTTTTTTTTTTTTTTTATTGATAATAAATATTCACGTGGTTTAATTTTTTTTTTTTGTTTTTTCCCCCCCCCCCAATTCAAGGGTCAAAACGAAGATTACGACGAAGATTTATTAAATTATTTTGCACCTTATCACGGTTTTATTGACGTCATGTGTCGTTTAGCCATTAATAATAATTGCATGTCGGAGGCTTTGATTCAATTAAGTGCAATTGTCGGATTCGAAGGTGTTCCCTTACACCTGACATATTTTCCTAAATTTTGGTTGGATATATACGCGACTCCGGTAATTATCATTCAATCCAATGTAAAATAATTTTTAATGATGACGTTTTACGTTGATTTTTTTCTTTTTATTATAAAAATTTCAGCAATTGGATAAAAAACACATTTCGATACTTTTAAGTAACAATTTTTTTATCGACTACATAGAAACTATTTTATTAGATGAAAGAACGTGTTTGAATGTTCCAATTATATACAAGTTCCTTTATACTTTTTTTCCAAAGGTGAGTTTTTAAAATCCATCATCAAGAGTTTCAAGAGTTAGGTTTGTTTGTTTGTTTGTTTGTGTAATAATTAGAATTTGAAAACCTTTTCAGGTAGCGTCTAGGGTTTTATCCGATAACACGTGTCAAATAGTTGACAATTTAGTGACTTCCCTCAATCAAAAAGTTCAACAAATGGACGTACTGTCAATGGCTTACAGGTTAAATGCGGATTTAAGAGCTCTAGAATTGGTTTATTCGAACGTCGAAGTTCCCATCGCTCCCCCTGATAATTTAATACAAACCCTTTTGTGTTTGGTAGAAAAAGTTCGAACGGCTCAAAGTTCTCCGAATCGTTCAGGAAGTAATTAAAAAAATTAAAAAATTTTAAATAATTTTTTATTTCGACGGTAGGAAAATGAAGTAAAGTAAATTAATTTTTGTTTTTTAGAAGATAAAACCTGTGTGAAAATATTAAAACCTGAAAATGTTGGAGACGCGGATAAGGAAAAAAACAACGGTCTCGCGAAAGATTCGAAAACGAATCCTGTTCCATCCGATTCGAAAATAAGGTTGGGTGATGTCGACGATGAGTCCAACGTCGACGGGGAAAATAATTGTAAAAATTGCGAAATGATCGATACGACGAATCAGGTATCGGTCGAAGAAAAAAAATTAATTGGAATGGATTCGTTGGACGTAACGGTTTTTTCCGTATCACCATCGCACGTGGATTGGTTATCGGCTTTGGAAAATACAATAACACGTTTAATAACGATATTTAATAAAAACGTTTAATATGTAAAAAGTTTTTTTATTTAAATTTAATAGGAAATATTTATAATAATAATAATAATAATAATGATAATAATAATAATAGTATTGATTCTATGAATTGACGGTCATTGAATAGCTCAAATAATAATCAAATGTTTTTTTTTTTATTAATCCGATACGAAAATATTCGTTAATATTTATAAGTATTATATATATATATATATCATCAAGTGTCGTCGACGGTACTTACACGTGTATAATAATAATAATAATAATAATAATAATAGATCATTAAATAATTTTTTTTTTTTTTAATTTAATTTAATTTTATTATTATTATTATTATTTTTTGTTTTTTTTTTTTTTTTTTTACCGGACAGCTAATTATTAATAAATTTTGTATAAATAAAAATAAAATCAATTTGATATAATCAAAAAAATAAAAGAAAAAAATCGATAAAATTTTTTTATTATTATTTGTTTTAAAAAAAAAAATATAAAAAAAAATTGTATTTTCTAAGCTTTTTTCGTGAAGAAAAAATATGCTAGTAAAAAAAAAATAAAAATAAATAAATAAATAAAGACAATAAAAATATTTAAGTATATAAATATATTGATATAATAATTTAATTAATCTGACCTATAATAATAAATAATAATAATAATAATAAATCACACGTCGGTGAAATGTAAAAATTTTACGAAAGAGGGGAAAAGCAGCCATAATCACCATGGGAATAAAATTGTGGGCTAATATAATTCCTTTGGTATTTTATTATAAAAATGTATCCTTTTGTATTTAACTATTTTGATACTATTTTATTATAATAAATAAATAAACACTCGTTATGTAAAAATGGGGGTGGTGACGTAACACACCCCCAGTCTCATGGGATTTTTTTTTTAAAAAATTATTCTGATTGTTTTCACAGGTTGTTAACGCTAATTATTTGATTTATCCATCCTATGAAAGAGGAAACCTTGACATAAACTCCAGGTACATTAACTCGTCCGCAACCGAAGCCCCAAGAAACCAAACCAGCAAGCTCGTAAAATCCATCATCTTCACAAACTAAAGGACCTCCTCCGTCTCCCTGTAAAATATCGTAATGGAGAATTAATTTTTTTAATTTTTTAAAATTATATTTTCAGGTTATGGTTTGTACGTACCTGGCAAGCGTCATTTCCTTCTTCTCCACCTGCACAAAAACTGCTAGCTGGTAATATGAATATTTTTTCTGTGACCGCATTTATTTTACGTATGCACTCTGCGTCGCTAACAATGGGAATTTCAGCTTCTCTAACTCTTAAAGGTATAGGTCCAGCTGGAATCATTAAGGTATTGTTAGATACTTCTTACTTTACGTAACAGTAAAATGCATTTCTTACCTTCTCCCATATAACCATAACCGGTGACGGTACATCTCTTTCCAGCTACTTGACTTACTCCACGTGCTGGAAGACATACCAGACAAACGCCATCTCTCAATTCTGCTTGACCGTGTAGTTTTAATAGAGCTATATCATTGTCTAAAGTTTGACTGTTATGATTGTGATGTATGTAGGTTGTTGCTACCCTCAGGGTTTGCGCTCCTGGGCTACCATATTTTCGTGTTAGATCGTGATCACCGACTCTGATGTATATCGCATCACCAGATCTCACAATGCTTGAAATTTCAAAAAAGTTATTCACGTTTTAATTTTTTTTCTTTTTTTTCTTGTAGGAAAACACATTTAATGATGCCATACTTTGTTACACAGTGAGCAGCTGTCAAAACCCATTGTGTGCCTATCAAAGCTCCTCCGCAAAGGTATTGGTTTAGGGAATTTATTAAAGCGACCTGCCAACACCATTCAACGGGATCAGCATCTTCTCCTCCTACGACTCTACCACCTCTCGTTCTTGATGTTCCTTTTACGCCGCATACATATTTACTATAAATAGTAGGTCTTGGAGTTGGAATGTCCATCGTTAAAGGTCCTCCTGCAAAAAATAATGTCTTTACTAACGTCTTCTTGTTTTGTTTTGTTTTTCGACATTTATTTCATATCAATTTCCCACCGTGAGTAGTGTGTTGTTCTGAATTAATGATTTGTGGACTTGGTGAATATTTTGTATTGTACAAGGAAGACGTTACATTTTTTTGATAATTATCATTTCCGTTGTTGGTGACATTATCGTTTCTTTGATTAACATTTGCATTTTTCTTATCCAAATGATCTCTTATAACTGATTTAGGAGCGCAACATTGAGTCCCTGATTTTCTACATTTAAATAAATCTGTCATGTCCGCATTCCCTGAAAAAAATTATTTTATTTTTAATACTAAAAAAAAATTATAAATTATGAGTTTAATTATGATTTTTTCTATACTTACTAAAGCAGGTAAAAGATAAATATGATACAATACATGATCCGGGACAATCCGGTCGGTCATCTGGACGTGTTACCACCGAATTAGGGGTTGTTGTGGTTGTTGTAGTGGTTGAAGTAGTTATTCTAGTCGTAGGACGAGGTTTTGAGGTAACCGCCACTTTAGTGTTGTCACAACAAATATGTCCTTTTTGACAATTAGATGTTCTCGGTATTAAAACCTACAGTAAAAGATTTTTCTTATAAGTACTCTCTATAAACTCCCTTTTTTGTAATCCGTACTAAAAAATACACTCACTGATGGTTTTTCGCAGAAAGCAGCCATTAAATTAAGAAGACAAAAACCGGGACATTTCGGGTATGAAGATTGAGGAGGATAACTTGTTAAAGGCCTTCTGGTTGTAGTGGTGGAAGGAACTGTTGTTGTTGTTGTTGTCGTTGTTACCATGGGTGACGAAGAAGATGGACCGTCGTGTGGAGAAGAATTAGTTATGCAACAACTTCCACCCTCTGGACAATTTGCATTTTCATCAATATCATCGCAAAAGAGAGCAAATAAACCGCTGACGCATTCTCCTCTGCACGGATTTTTTGACTGATAGTCATGTGTTTCGACCGAAGGTTTCAATTGTGGCCTGCACAATAAGTAAATAAATAAATTAATTTTCAATTGTTTTTTTTTTATTAATTTGAAATTTCAGGTATTTCACACAATGTACCTAACAGTTACATCTGAATCTGAAGGTTTTGTACCATTCTTATTAATAATCGTAAGATTTTGTTGTTTGTTTTCGCTGTATACGTCACTTGAAACGCAACATCTGAGTCCAGGTTTGCATAAATCGTTAACGTTAAGAACGGCTTCGCAATAATCGGCAATTCTTTCAGCAACGCAAACACCAGGGCATGCTTTTACTAAATAATAATAAATTGTTTTTGGTTGAAAAGTAAATCCAATCAGTGAATACATAATCATAACTAAAACTCACCGGTATTATCTCTTATATTAGGTTTTGTAAAACTTTCATTGTTTCCTGCGGGTGATTGTGAAGTCTACAATAATAATAATAATAATAATAATAATGAGAATAATAACAATAAAAATTTATGAAGATCAATACATGACCGTAAATACCAAATACACATAACATACTTGCCTGTAACGTTTTAACAGGTTTTGTCGTTTCTGTAGTCGGTGGATTTGATGGTACTTTCGTCACGTTTCCTTCTCCGCTTGGGGTTTCGATGCAACATTTCATTGCAGGTTTCGAACAAGAAACATTTTCTAAAACTTCATAACAAATAACGGTCGCTAAAGCGTGTACGCAAACTCCCGGGCAATCTTTTGATTCTTCCGTACTTGTTATTGTATCAAGTAAGCCTCAAAACATAAAAATCAATTCATAATTAACATAATTTTTTTTTAAAACAAATTAGTTTTTGAAAATGAATTTTTCAAACGTTTAATCCATAACCTAATTGGAACAAGTCCAAATAAATGAATAATTTTTTCTTAAGTTGAATAACCTACAAAATATGCTAAATACATTACAATAGGTCTTCAAATATTTCTTTTCTTTTATAATTATAAAAGTGTGGAAAAAGAAAAAAAACGATAAAATATGGCGGTGACTTTATATTTGCAAAAAAAAAAAAAAAAGTAACGGATTTATTTTTTATTTAAAAATTTATTTTATCAATATTAGCAAATGTATTTATCTAAAATCAGTAAAAATTTTATTATTTATATATATATATATATAATTAAATGCACTTTCTTTTTCTTCAAAATTTTCTATATATTTTTTTCTATTTAAATTAATAGTTTATTAGGTATAATAATAATAATAATAATTTACTGTTATAAATTTTCTGATAAGTTTTTAGTAGTACACTTAGTTTTACTATTAGTTTCATTTTGAATTTAAATAAAATTTAAATTTTATGACGTTGAAAATAATTTTGTATAAATAAAAGAGGAAAAAACTTTTTGTACGAAATACTTTTGTTTAAATTAAAATATATAAGTAATACTTTTTTTTTTTTTTTTTTTTTTTTTTTTTTAGAAAAGATGATTAATTAAAGAAACTAGTTTCAACGTGGACTTTTTTAGGAATTACCGTTAGAAATGTTTACAAAGCAACCGTTAGTCAAGTGATTCAGGTACGTAAACTATTGCCAATTGACAAGTTCATTGAAGTCTATACCTAAACTTATTTAAAATATGTAAAAAAAATTTTTTTTTTAAATTATTTTTACCAAAAATTCAAATTTTTAAAAACTTACCCGATAGAAAGCTTGTAGCCAAATCAGTTTCTTGGCAAATAATTGTGCCATTGTAAAGGCAAGATAATAATAATAGGCAGTATGTTAATTTATTTAATAATTTTATTTTCATCCTTAAATATTTAAAGTCTGTTAAACATTCTATCTAAACCATTAAATAATTTTGTTTTTTTTTTTTTTTTAATATCAAGTCACTAACTTTTATAACATTGTGTCATTAATTTTAAAGAAAAAATTTTTCTTTTATATAAATCAATCGATGACTAATTTTTATTACTTAGAAAACAAAAAAAAAAAAAATTTTTTTTTAAGAAAAAAAACTTTTACTCGTCAAACCGTTATGTAAATATTTGTAATGATTAACCAAGACATTAAAATTTTGACAAAATTAAAAAGATTAATTTAAAATTAATTGTACATAAATAATTTTTGTCGTAAATTTTATTGTCATCGATCACCGATAATGATTGGTTTTATAAATTTGATTGGCAATAATATTATTATTATTTTTAAACACCCACAACTATTAAAAAAATTCATACATTTTCATTTATTTATTGATTTTAAATTTACCGGAGAAAAAAAAAATTAAATAAAAAAATAAATCATCACTCGACCATGTCACGTTATGAACTGAACTTAAACAACAACAAAATGTCTCCCATAAGTATTATTATTATTATAAAATTATTACCTGAGGTTCTATACCTGCTCGCCGACACACACAAAAAAAAAAAAAAAAAGTTTTTTTTTAGTTTTACTCTTTCTGAAGAAGGTGAGTATTACGGTAAAATCCCCAAAATATAATTTATATATTTTTAAATCAAATTTATAATTTTTATAGGAAAAAATTGTTTGTGTAAACTTTTGGGCATTGTCTACATTCGTCATACAAATAATTCATATAAAATAATTGAGAAAACTCATTCATTTGATAATAAATAATTGTAAATAAATGATAAGTAATAGTATAAAAAAAGTAATAATTATTTTTTGTTTTATTAAAAAAAAATTATAAATAAAATAAAAAAGCAAAGTGTAAAAGTTTGATATGAATTTTATATTATGTTTCTAAACCTCTTTTACTTTTAAATGTAAAACTAAAATGGCGCCAAAAAAACGTAACACGAATGTACGATGTTAAAAGTGATTTATTTTATTATAATAGTTAAATGAGTGAATGTAATACTCGTTAAATTTAAATAAATTTCGTTTTTCGAGCATTATAATCATAAAATTCAATGTAAATAGTTTAGAAAATGATAAAAAAAAGAGTCTTGTTTAAATACTCTAGGTTAAAAAATTATTTTTTTAAAAACATTACGTTTGTATAAGCGAATTAAAAATACAAAAATGTAATCAAGTAATTACATTCCTTGTAATTTTTATTTAAAAGGTCAAATTTTATGTATTTTGTCGTGTGCAATATGTTCATTGCAAATTTAAAGAACATTTTTATGGCTTAATTTTTGACACACAAAAAAAAAAAAAAAAAAAAAAAAAAACAAAGTCAAATTTTTTTGCCCAAGGTCAAATATTTAATATCCTTTTGTCCAGAGACCGTTGTAATGAAGACGTCACAACTCCATAAACAAACTGGCAACATTGTTGTAACATATTTTCACTTCTTTTATGACAGGTGCCATCATTATTTTTTGTTCTTTAAGTTTTAATGATTTTTATTTTTGTGCCTTTTAAAGTAATTATTTGGATTTTATAATATAGGTAACTATTTATTATTTAAATTTCTGGTATTATTTGAAAAAATGTGAAACCTTAACTGATGACTTATTGATGCCAACATTGATAAACTTTTATTTTTAAGGATAATTAGTTAGTACATCGTTCTATAAACTGATTTTACGTATAGTAATTTTTTTTTTTTTTTTATTAAGAGCAATTTATTGGTAATTATGTGACATTAAAACTAAATTTCCGTGTTTTGTATATTTTGTATATTAAATATTTTTTGAAATTAATTTATAAATAAAAAATTTTGTAAACTGTGATTTGTAAAACCAATCAAGAATTATTAAGTTTTTTTTTTTTTAATTTAAAAAAGAAGAATTGATTTCATGTAATTGGCTAATATAATTAAGTATTAAAAATATACTTCTAAAGGTTTTTAAAAAAGAAAAAAAATGAAGTAAAATCAAATTTTGTAAAAATATTTATAAGAATATTAGTTTTGGTTCATGAATTTTATATCTGTAATTAAGTACTAAATACCTGATTCTCATTCAATAGGAAATGAAAGTACATAATTTTGTACCTTATGTGTTTGCCTTATTTTTACCTTGTTTTACCATTTTATAATTTCATTTTGCAATCAAAATTTTATACTCCTCATTTGTAAAATTTTTCTCTTTTTAATTTGAATGCTGAAAATAACTGAAATTATATTTTATATCTAATTTGTAAATATTGCAGTGACATATATCTAATATTTATATGATAATTACATATTTTAATTTTTAATTGTTGTTATTAGTGCTTAAGAATTTCAGAATTAAATTTTATTGTAAAAATATTTGTGTTTATTAACATATGAATTATTGTAGGTGAAGATTAAAATGTGGAGTCCAACTCATGTGCAAGTTACTGTTCAAAAAGCCAAAGATTTACTTATTAAAGGAAACAATGGTACAAACAACTCATTTGTTACAATTGCAGTAGGAAAAGAGAAATATCAAACATCTATAAAAGAAAAAGAAGGGAAAGATGTCCAGTGGCATGAACAGTGTGAATTACTTATACCTCAAATTGGAAACACTGCATCTATAATACTGACAGTCCTTCATAGAAACAATTTGGGTCTAGATGAATTTTTAGGTCATGTAAATATACCTTTGGCATCTTTTGATGTGTATGAAAGACCCAAAAGCAGATGGTACAAATTACAGGGAAAGCCTGGAAAAGAAAAAGGTAAAGATAAATATAGAGGAGAGTTGGAAGTTCGAGTTGGCTTCACTGTTAAAGCTTCCACTGGGTCACTAATGGATTTGTCTAAAAAAGAAAAATTTCGAGCATCATTGGGTCAATTATCTAATAAAGTTAGTGGTAGTTTACTGAGTTTAAACAATAAAGAAAAAGGAACTGGAATAAAACAAATAACTCGATCAATTTCAAAAAAAATATCAAAGAAAAAGAAAGATGTGGAACATATTGATAAGGAAATTAGTGTCGGAAACAAAGAAGATTTCAGTAATAATATTGATCCAGGGGTCATAAGCGAAGATGAAGATGAATTTTCATTTGACAATTTATCCCACAAGAGTTCTGGTACTTCCATAAACACTAATCCTCCAGCATTAGAAAATCTGGCTGGTGGTGAATTCTTAAGGCGTTCCAGCTTAGAACCCATAAAATCTCCCAGATCAATAGTATCATCGGAAAAAAATGAAGATGAATGGACTCAAAAATTATTTCAAAAGGGAGATACAATGAAGCGTTTTAGTAGTGGTTCGATAAAATTTAGAGGAAATGAGGCAGCAACAAATGTAAATACTTTTCTATCGAATGAAAAGTCTGCATTATCAAAAAGTTCATTGTCCATCACGAGTAATTCGGATGAAAAAGAAACTCATGATGTTCAAAATGCTGGAAAATCTCTTACGTCGGAAAGGAAATCATTGACATCAAGTTTTTTGGAAAAGCAAATCTTTCCAGATTCTGATGCTAAAGAAAATACTAAACAAGAAACAAATATAATAACAAAAGCATTTCCACAATTGAAAAAAAAAGAAAAAAAGACAATGGATAGGTTTGTTGTCGGAGAGGAAATGGCAAAAGTTACAGAGGAAGGATCGAAACATTCAAAAGAAATCTTGAGACAATTTGAATCTAAAAGTAGAGATGATTTAATAGACATGGTCATAGAGTTGCAAAAAGATATTGGTAAATCAAATCATCATTTAAAAGAGCTTGAAGATTATTTGGATCAGCTTTTATTAAAAGTCATGGAAACAACTCCTAGAATTTTACAAAATCCCTACATTAGTTGTAAGACTCAGGCTGCCTTTAATTATCATTAATGTTATTAAATTTTTTTTTATGGTAAGGTATTTTGTTATATTATTATATATATATATTTTATTTTTAAAAGACAATAAGTAAATAAATTGTATTTTTTATAATTGACATATATATTTTTAAATAGTAAAAACTCATTGTAAAGTAATTTATTGGAATATTTTATTTCTTATATTATTATTATTATTATTATTGTACATTATAGAACAACAAACAGTATTTTATTGTAATATAAATTAGAAATGATCATTTGTTAGATATGAAAAAAAAAAATTTTTTTTTTTTTTGTTCTTATAGTCTTCTTATATCTTGTTAATGTGATACAATTTTTATCATGAATGGGGAGTAGGAGGGGGGAAGGGGGGGTAAAGAAAAACAAAAAAGAAAATATCAGAACAATATTCATTT